GGGGGGGGGGGGGCTCATAAGACGATAGTGGAGATGATAAGGAGGGAATCATAAGAAGTACTCCACTCAAAGGAATGCAGTGCGAGGGAAAAGGAACAAAAGGGGAAAACAGGAAAAAGGACAGTATGACCCAATTAAAGCAAAATGAACCGATGGCCCAAACACTCTAATAAAAAGGCAGCAACTCTCAGATCTGATAAAAGTAAGATCCGGCTGGTTATGTGGTGTCTATGAGAAACCACTGCACACATGTTTAGAGGCAGACAGGTCAAATGTGAAACTGGGGCTACACTCTGCAGACACCAAGCAGAAGGAAGCTGGATTGACTGTGTACACATTCAGTCAAGTAGACTTCAGACAAAGGGTTATTACCAGTTTGTAGATGACATGACCATCTCTACAGAAATTCCTAAGGAAGTAAAAAAACCTATTAGAAATAATAAACTAGTTCAGCAAGGGCGCAAGATATGAAATCAATAAACAAAAACAAATTGTATTTCTCTCCAGTATCAATGAACAAAACAAAAGAAAATAATTCCCTTTGAAATAGCATCAAAAATATAATACTTAGGAATATATTTAAAGAAAAAAGTCTAAGACTTCTGCACTAAAAATTACGAACATTACTGAGAGAAATTACAGAAGACTTAAAAGAAAGACACCCCATATTCATGGGTTGGAAGACATGGTATTGCTGAGATGGCCACACTCCCCAAATTGATGTCCAGATTCAACACAGTCAACATTGTAATTGCAGCTGGCTTCTCTGCAGAAATTTACAAGCTGATCCCAACACTCATATGGTAAGTCAAGGAACTCAGTATAGGCAAAATACTGAAATAGAAAATAGAGCTGGAGTCCTCACAGCCCCCATTTCCACACTCAGTGCAAAGCAGCAGCAATGAAGAGAATGCGGCACCAGCAAAAGGGAGACATCTGATCCACACATAGAACTAAGAGTCCAAAAACAAACCCTCATGTTAACAGACAACTGAGGACAACTCAATGGGGAAAGAATGGTCTCTCCAACCCATGGCGCTGGGACAACTGGTTTCCCACATGCCAAAGAACAAAGCTGAACCCCTACCTCACTCCATATACAAAAATTAACTTTAAGTGGATCAGAGACCTAAATGTAAGAGAGAAAACTATAGAACTCTTAAAAAGAAAACATAGGCATACATCTTTGTGACCAGATTTCTTAGATGTTGCACCAAAAGCACAAGAACCAAGGAAAAACCAGATACACTGGGCATCAAAATTAAAAACTTTCGTGCTTTACAGGGCACCATCAAGAAAGTGAAAAGACAAGCCACAGAATGGGAGAAAATATCTGCAAATCACATCTGATAAGAAACCTGTATCTAGCCTGGCCAGCTTGGCTCAGTGGGTGAGCATCGACCTATGATCCAGGAGACCGTAGTTTGATTCCCGGTCAGGGCACATGCCTGGGTTGCAGGCTCCATCCCCAGTTGGGGGCGTGTAGGAGGCAACGGATTAATGACGACTCATCACTGATGTTTCTATCTCTCTCCCTCTCCCTCTCCCTCCCTCTCTCTGAAATCAAAGATATATTTTTAAAAATAAAATAAAAAAAGAAACCTGTATCTATAACAAAAACCAATAACCCATTTTAAAAACAGGCAAATAACTTGAATAGATACTTCTCCAAAGAAGATACACAAATGGTTAATAAGCCCATGAAAAGATGCTCAGCGTCAGCAGCAGGATGTGCTGTCAGACAGGTGGCAGGTGCCAGCAGGGGGTGGGGGACAAAGCCACCCCCCCTCGCCCAGCGGGAGGGTACAGAACACTGTGGCTGCTGCGGGCCTGTCTGCGGCTGCTCCACAGGGGCTCCGGCCTGGGCCAAGTGTGGGGGAAATGGCACCTGGCACCATTCACCACTTCTTTTAGAAAAGGCCGTGAGGGAAGCCAGGGAGGACACTTCCCAAGCTTCTAGTTTTATCCTGTCCAAGACACGCTGGGCGTCATCGTGTTCCTGTGAGAACTGTGAGGTGCCGTCCTCTGGCGCGAGCACCCTGTGCACCCAGTTTGTGAGGTGAAGCACCCTAGTGGCTCTGGCTGTGAGGGATGTGAACGAAGCTGCCGGAACATTCGTATAACCACTCAGTCTCTCTTCTGGGTGGACGTGGGGTGTCTGCTTCTCATTCTTTGATAGTCTTTTCTTTGTCTAGGCCTTCCGCATGCCTGTTCCTGGGGAGGGAGAGATGAGGAGTACCGAGGCAGGGGCAGGCCCTTACCTTCTTCTCTCAGCAGCTCGGTCTTCATGCAGCAGTCCTGCTTGGTCTCCCCCTTCGCCGGAACTGCCTGCTAAAGAGAAACCACTGTCAGTCTGGTGCCTGCACAGGCAGACCAAGCAACTCACCACCGTGACTTCTCTGAACAGAGTCCCACCGGAACCAAAAACAAGTCACAGGTCACAGTTCACTACGGGTGGCCGGACAGCTCGGACCTTCCAGGAGCATCAGGACACTGCCAAGGGAACTGCACTGCGCCTGAACTCTGGCGCGGGTGTTAACGAGCAGTGGGCTATGCGCTGCTAACACTGTGATGCCCCTGCACTGCCTGGCTGCTACACAAGTGCTCCAGATTATTTCAGAGTGCGCTCTGCTGCCGACGGCGACCCACCTAAGTGTCTAAATGTCTCAAATGTCCAACGACCTACCAAGCTCCAGAAACGGATGAACAAAGTGACCTGGGTCCCTGGTACTGGTCTACCACACGGAGGCATGAATCGCAAAGGCCTCCTGGAATGGCTGAGACACACACTCTTCCCTCTGGGAAGGTCTGCCTCTGGTGGAGACATGAACAGGACACACAGAGGCTCTGACCGGGCCCCCCAGGCGCAGCAGTGGCCACAAGTCCCCGCAGAAGGAGAAGGGAGTGCCCAGCCCACTCTGGGGGGGCCAGGGGATGTGGGCCCTCCAGGTTTCCCACTGAGAGCTTCTGAATCCACAGGCCTAATGCCCATGATACTTGTGTAACTGACTCCATCAGGGCCGCGGCCAGCAGCCAGCACAGGAGGCGGGCAAGGAGGGCCTTCTCTCCCCACAAGCGAGATGTTTGGTTCTAGCAAAAGCCAGACGCCGAGCTCTAAGCTGCCACTTGCTTGCTCTCTGCTTTAGATGCTGCCCACCCAGAACCTGGGCCAGAGGTGGCATCATCCCTGGAGCAGTGCTGAATGCAGCACACATGGCACAGGGCTGCACCCCCGAGCTGGGGCTCTGATGGGACACATCTCTAGGCCAGGGAACTTCTGAGATGGAGAGTGCTCTGTCCACCCCAAAGTGTAAGCTATTCTGGACACAGCAACGCACTAGCTAACTATGGAAAGGGCTGGGAGAGGAGGAACAAGCCCTTTCCGTGTCGAGTGCGTTTCCTTTTTCCTCTTTTGTCTTTCTGTTTGTTCCCTTGGCAGGAAAAGGAGCTGGTTCCTAAATCTGGAAAACACAATTAATATAGTCGTCCAGAATTTACATTTCAGGGATTCTGCAATATCAGAACAAACTCCCTTTCTATCTGCCACTTAACCCTTCCCTGGACTCTCTGCAGAGAACACCAAGGGTGCTACTCCCAGTCGCTGCCTGGACAGTCTCTCGCCTCCCATGTCTTACAAGGAGTCCAGACTAGCACAGAGCCCACCCCACATCCCGCTAACAAGGCGACACTGATGCTCCTCAGGAGAGGGGGGCTCTGTGTTCCCTCCCCATTGCTGGACGGGCCACCGCAACTGACAGCCTGAGACTGGCCAGCATCAGCTCCATGAAGCCTGGGGACAGGGCACTGACAGCATAGCCACACTGTAAGGAGCCCAGACCACAGGAGAGGCCACTGAGGCCACAGGAGGTCCGGTCAGCAGACACAGAACCAGCGTCAACAACCAGAGGTGCATGTGAGTGAGCCCGCAGGTGACCCCTGCCCAGTGCTCGTGTCTTCAGGCTGAGACCCCAGGCTCATGGGCCGTGAAGCCATCCCCTCTGCCCGTGGCTTGCTGGCCCCAGGAGGGAGAGCCAACTAGCACTGCTGTTGTTGGGCATGAAGGGCCAGGGTAGAGTGGCCACTGACGACTGTCACAGTGCTCTTGTCCTTTCCCTGCTGCAGGGGTGGAGCAAACACAGCCAGGCCTGGCCCTCAGACCCCACTGAGTGAGCAACTTACCCATGCGAGCTTCCCTTTCCTTGACTATCGGGTCACAGGGGCCTGCCCTGAGCCCCTCTTCCCTCCGCCCCCACAACAGCAGCTTCCTTTTTTATTTTAAATTGATGTCAGAGAGAAGAAGGGAGAGGGGGAGGGAGAGAGAAACATCAATGATGAGAGTCACTGATTGGCTGCCTCCTGCATGCCCCCTACTGGGGATAGAGCCTGCAACCTGGGCATGTGCCCTGACCGGGAATTAAACCATGACCTCCTGGTTCATAGGTTGACGCTCAACCACTAAGCCACGCCGGTTGGGCAGCAGCTGTTTCCTTTGTATTTATTTTTTAAATTTTCACCCAAGGATATTTTTTCCATTGCTTTTTTCAGAGAGAGTGGAAGGGAGAGAGAGAGAGAGAGAGAGAGGGAGGAACATCAATGTGAGACACACCAAATTGGTTGCCTCCCGCACTCGCCCCAACAGGGATTGAGCGTGCAACCAAGGTGCGTGCCTTGGCCGGAATCAAACCTAGGACGCTTCAGTCCACAGGCTAATGCTCTAACTACTGAGCCAAACTGGCACGGGCAGCTGTTTCCTTTTTAAAAAGGCTGTTCCGGCCACACTGAAAAACTATGCTGGGCCCACTCCCAAAAGGGTGGGCAGTCCAGAGGCCTGGGCAAGAGGCACATTAGCCGTACTACATGGACATCTCCCCTGGTCTGCCCAATCCACCCCCGACTCAAAAGTGGAACTTTCTTCAGGCCCTTCGTGAGTGTGCACCCCACACGGCCGCTCCCTCAAGCCAGCTTCCTGGTGCCCATGGCCTCATTAACTAGAGCCAGAGCATCCCTCACTCCTGCGCAGGACAATCAGTGGGGAACGCACCAGGTGAATGCACAGGTCGCCAGGTTCCTTCCCAGGCGTGGAAGACACTTAGGTCTGGAAGAATGTTTTCTCATTGTTTCCTATTGTAAGAACCTCCCAAAATAAAAGAGCTGATGGGAAAAATCACTTACTGACAAACGCCATCAGGTATGTCAGGGGCGTGTGCACACTTCATGAAGCCCAGAGGGCCTGCCCCTCGATGCTCTGGCTCCTTGAGCAGTGATACCAGCCTGGTGCTTTTCACAATTCTCATTTTATGCCACTTCCAAAGTCTCCCAGAGCTCGGCCGCCTTCTCATCAGTTCTGCCTATTTTCACTTCAAGAGCATCAGCAATTTCCTGTGAGTTTTTAGTAAACTGTGCTCCATTTATAAGCCATGGAAAGAGAACAAATTTAAAGCTCTGGCATTAAGAACAAAACCCACCAGCCAAGGAGGCAGAGGGCTGTGGTCCGACTGGAGGGGATGGAACTGCTGGGCGGCGCCAGCCCATTGCGATGACCACGAGATGCGCCACCCGCCCACTAGATGGCTGTTACAAGGAGATGGACCATACACGTGTGGAGGAGGCAGTGCAGAACTGAAGCCCTCACGCACTGCTGGCGGGAATGCAAAACGATGCGGCTGCTGTGGAAAATAGTTCAGTAGTTTCTCAGAAAGTTAAAAAAAAAAAATACCAGGTGACCCAGCAATCCCAGTGCTAGGTATATACTCCAAAGAAGTGAAAAGCAGGCACTTGGCCGGGTAAACATAAATGTTCAGAGCACTATGCAAAGTGGCCAAGAGAGGGAAGACACTCGTGTCCATCGACAGATGAGCAGTTAAAGGAAAGTGATATGTACAGACAAGGGACTATCATTCAGCCGGAAACAGGAATGAAATTCTGACACAGGCAACCACACAGACAGACCTTGAAAACATTATGATAAGTGAGATAAGGCAGACACAATATGACTAGAATTGTAAAATTCTACTTATATGGGATGGGTAGAGAACAGGTAGATAGGCGGGCAGATTCAGAGACAGGCAGGGGAAAGGGAAGTTATTGCTTAAACGGGTACAGTTTCTGCTGGAGGTGATGAAATGTTTTAGAAATAGTGATGATGGCTGCACATTGCACTGTACTTAATGCCACCAAAAAGTACACTTAAAAATGGTTAACATGATAAAACTTATGTTTAAGTATATTTTATCACAATAGAGGGGGGAAGATTGAGAGATGTGCCCACACAGCCCTATAGATGCAGGTGGAACCTCTTTACTAGGACCATGCAATTAGGAAGGACTACTTCAAGGGAGAGATGTGATGGATACGTAACAATAAAACAGAAAATGACATCTGTGTAGTAAAAAGAGGCACATAGCATGACAGTGCTAATAGGGTGACACATACATACCCTGTTGAAAGGTACAGAGTAACTTCCTGGCGTTGTGGCTGTGCTGGTTCAGTGAGAGTCTCTGCAGAAAACACACTGACATGTGGGAGTGATGGGGCATCTAGGAGGCAACTGAATCTCAAATGGATCATAAAAACCCTTCCTCATACTTGCAACTTCTCTGTTAAGTTTGACAGTCTTTCAAAGAAAAACAGCTTTATAGACAGAAAAACAGTTATTACTCTGTAATTTTATTTTTTAATTTAAGCAAGGGGAATTGGAAAAAATTAAAAAGTGAGAATTACCCATAAGCCACCTACTTTAACATTTGTGTATAATCTTCCAAACACTTTTCTGTGCAAATATACTCATGTGATCGACACAGACTACATAAACAGGGTACCACACAGACTGTTAGTACCAATATGAATCCGTCTCATCAGAGTAGAGGCTGCAGATACCCCACTGTGGGGGACACAGTGTCCACTGTGAGCTACCCCGCCACACACAACCCCACTGTGTGGCTAAGTATAATAGGTTTACTATTACTCAACTCTAGAAGGAAGAGACAAATAATAACTATGAACCAATGTTTTAAAGAAAGACGACAAAAAGATGGGCAAAGGAATTAAACAGGCATTCCCAAATGGCCAACAGGCACGCTCAACCCCACTGGTAATTATAGACAGCACAAAGGGAAAACACATTCCAGCTCCTTCTATGAGAACAGTACTACACAGAAAACAGAGTGGCCAACGATACATAAGGAAACTACAGAATGCAAGGTTGGTTTAACAGCTGAAAATCAATGTAATAAATGTTAATAGAATGTAGGACAAAAACAACAGTGATCATTTCAATAGATGCAGAAAAAGCATGTGACAAAATTCTTTCATGATAAAAAATTCACCCTGATAAAGAACATCTATGAACAATGCTCAGTGCTTCCCCCTAAGGTTGGGAACCAGCCTAGGAGGTGCCACTTAACTCTGAACCACACTCCGGGGGCTCCAGCCAGTGCCATGGGGGGGCAATACAAGTAAGAAAAAATGAAAATCACCCACAATCCTACCGCCAAGAGTAAACCCCTTAGCATACCCCTTACAGGCTTCTCCACTAGGAGTACATCAGACACAGGTTTTTCATCCACCTGGTAACAGAGTCTACACAAGTGTGCCGCGTGGCTACACTCCACTCTCCAGCTGTTACACTGCGGCTGTGGCGACCCCTGCACGCCTGGGTCAGGAACTCTCAGTGAGCTGCACCCTCACACAGGCTCCAAGTCCTGGCACCTGCATCGCCACTCCACTGCTACCTCCTTATTTTAGACATTTCATCCCTAAAGGCCTGGTGTTCGG